GGGTTTAGGGTTTTGGTTTTCGGGTTGAGGGTTTAGGGGGCCCATAATTTAGGATCCTATAAGGCAATCCCCAAAAGGAACTACAATGGAGCCCATGGGGAGTGACAGTGCTTGGGGGTTTGGGGTTTAGGGCTCAGGGTGAATCTTAGGGCCTTTTGGGGTGTGGTGGGGGCCTGCAGGCTCTGCTCAAAGCAAGCCACCCATCCAAACAGGGTTTAGGGTTTAGGGTTTTAGGGTTTAGGGTTTAGGGTTTGGGTTTAGGGTTTAGGGTTTAGGGTTTAGGGTTTAGGGTTTCCGAGCTTCTTGTATTGATTGGTCATATAGGAAGCTGATTAAGAAACCTTGGGTCTTTATTAGGGCTCTTTAAAGGGATCCTACTATTTCGGGGTTGTGGGACCAGGGTTTCTTAACCAGGTTCCTACAGGATGAATTTTCATGGAGTTTTACAAGGTTCTTAGTATTATAATCAGTATTGCTACTACTATTATTATTACTATTTTGTATTATTGTTTTATGATGATTAAAATTTAATATATTAGTTTCTGTTCATATTATTACCACCATTCGCATACTTATCATCTTCAGCCAAGAAGCAGTCCTAGGAGGAAACCGCGCAAGTCTTCGTGGGCCTCTGCTGCACTGGTTTAGGCTTTTGGGCTTTAGGGTTCAGGGTCTAGGGCTTAGGGTTTAGGGTTTATGGTTCATAGGGTTTAGGGAGCTTAAGCCACAGGGAAAGACATCTTGGATTCAGGTTTCGGGCTCCGGGGATCTTCAAAGATTTATGGCAAAAAGTTGCCTTTTTTTCATGGGGAGCCCTTAAATATTTCTGCTGCTAATTTACCTAGAAGTTGGAAAGCCATTTTGGATGTTTGATTTGCGGCTCAGGGGTCTTTTGGGTTGTCAAAGAATTGGTTTCCGTCAGCTTGTCACAACCTTCAGACTGCCAGGAAGGCTGAACTACTGTTGATGATAGAAATCCTGCATTATCTTAAGGACTTAAGGACCCTAAACTATGGGAATTATGGTATACTCCTTATTATAAATATGGGTAATGCAGGATGTATATCATCAACCGTACTGGTCGTGTGGGCCTGTACACTGAAACACGTGCAGGCCTTGGGTTTCGTGTTCAGAGTTTAGGGGTTTCGGACTTCGCGTTTGGGGAAGTACCTACCAAGGTCCTAGGATCAAAAAACCCTGAAGCTAAAGCCTAAACCCCAAAGCCCTGAACTCCCAAACCACACACCCCAAAGAAAGCTCTTTGATGCCTCCCCCCACCCCGAAGCACCTGAACCCTAAACCCTAAACCCAAAAAAACCTAAAGCCCTCAACCCTAAACCCTAAACCGTAAAATCCTAAACCCTAAAACCCTAAACCATAACCCCAAAACCCTAAAACCCTAAACCCTAAACCCTAAACTCTAAAACCCTAAACCCTAAACCCTAAAACACCCTAAACCCCATCGCTGGGCCTTGGCGTGGTCTACGCTAGACGCGAAGGTCACCTCGAACTGGTAGCCTCGGGAGCTCTGCAGTTGCCCGCTAGGGCTGTTTTTCTGAGCTTCTATGGTTTAAAGTTTACGGTTTGGGGTTTAGAGGTTTAGAGATATGAGCTTTTGTGGGGGTTTAGGTTAGGGCCTCATGAGTTTTGTAGGGCTGCGCTGGTGGGTTGTAACGATGTAACATCAGGGCATCAGTAATGATTAACTCGGGCCTTGAAGCACACCATCCTATGATGACAAACAGTTTAGGGTTTAGGGTTCAGGGTTTAGGGTTCAGGGTATAACCGTGAGCCATGAAAATTATGCTGCTAAACATATATTACAGGGTATTGCATGGGTTATAGGGTATGTATAGCTTTAGTCTAGGGCTTCTCAATGGGGCTTGGGGGTACACAATGTGCTGGCTAGATTGGGGCTTTTGTTATGGTGTGATTAGAGCTCCATTTGCTTTGACAGCGGCTTTAGAACCTGTTGAAATGTTTTGCCTTGGGCTTTCAGTCCTTCGTTTAACTAAACGCTAAAACCTAAACCCCATGCCCCGAAGCCCTACACTACCCTAAACCCTAAACCCTCAACCTTTTGACCGTTGCCTGCGATTGCTGTTTCTTGGGCTCGAGATTCCAGCTCTCGGCCACATGGTACCGGTAGGTAAGGTTCAAGATAGGGGCTGTATAACAAAGTTAGGGTTTTGGGATACATGGTTTTGGGTGCCGTCTTTGCATGCTGTAGCACGGCATCCAAGCCATCGGATGCGCTTCGGCATGCTGGAAAAAAGCGAAATTTTGCCTGCGTCACATGGACGCAAGAACTCACACCCAGTCCCGAAGCTTGACCCACTAAACCACTTTGACGAAAAAAACTACAACACACGGAGCAAAGAAAAGCAGAAAGAACAGTCCATAGCCCGCTCTACTGAGGCCCAGGGAGCCATAGCCATGCGCAGCTTTCAGCTGTGACGCAGATCCCAAGCAGACCAGGCGCCCGTTCACCATAATTCCAATTCCTAAGTTGGGATTCAAGGCTTAGATTTTTAGGGAGGATTAGGGTTCCGGGTTTCGGGGCTCCATGATTCCAACTACGTTGGGTGTCGGTGAGAAACTCAGCATCCCAACAGGCAGGAAGAAAAAACGAATGGAAGATCTTGCAGAGTGATATAGGGGCTGCAGAACTTAGAATAGGGTCTTGGGTAGTATTAATTAGGCTTAATAGGACCCGTATCATAAGGGCCGCCCGGAAGGGGCCCTGGACTTAAGAAACCCCCACAAAGATGTGTTGGCTCTCCGCCGCAGCCGACCTTCTCAAAACGGAGAATTGTGCTAAACCCGTTACCCATGGGCTCCATAGCAGTTCCTCTTTGTGGCTTATATTTAGGATCCTATAAGGTAATCCCAAAAGGAAGTACTACGGAGCCCATGGGTAGACCCTACATACTAAAACTGAATCGCCAAACCCTAAAACTTTTGCTTTCGGAGGCTCGGCTCGGGACGGGCCTTGATGGCCTAGACACATCACCCGGGTTTAGGGTTTAGGGTCTTGCAGCCAGCGGGCTGTTACACAAAGCCTCGCACTCCTCCATGGAGTGCGTGGTCAGGATCACCGCACGACCAACCATCGTGCTGGAGATCAGCTTCCTTGATGCGGCTTCGGTGGCCCAAGGGCATGTGGAACACACGTTCTGAGTGCATGTATGCGTGCACCTTATGTGTGTAGTAGAGGGGCCTGAACAAGTAGCATATGACTTGGGGTATAGTGCAAGGACACATATAGATTCGGAACCCTAAGAATAGTGTCCGGAATTACTCAGGCCGTCGATTCACTCTCTGTTTGGGGCCCCATCGGCCGTACGGTGACAGGCCAAGATTCCACATGAACCTCCTGGACTCGGGATCCACGCCCGTGGTCGGCTCGTCCAGAAACACGCAGCGCGGGTCGCCGACGAGGGACCTCGGAAGTGGGCGGGAGGGGGGACGGTGATGCTTCGTTTATTACGTTATGTCGCGCTGCGTGGCATTAGCTTGCAAGTACTCTACTTATGCTATAACAGATTATGGCATCTCATGCTGTATTATACTGTAGTATACTAGATCTTAAGGTAGGGTGCTCATGCTCATGGGTAGGGCATCTGTCTAGGACCCGTGCTGAGGACCCAGCAACCGTCAACCCACGCGCCCTCGTTCGAGACTTCCATTTATTGGGTTACCACCCTTTTTAAAGTCACTTATGGTAGCCCTCATTACCGTAGCCCTTATCGCAGCTCTGATAGTAGGAAGACCTACTTGTCCAGCATCATAGGGAACTAAAGGCTACTGTAACCTTTGGGATTATATGGGGGATCCTAGTGCCCCCAAAAAAGTTGAAAGTTACCTGCTCTACTACTAAGTCTTATGGTCACTCTCAGAGTGCAGTTGGGCTTATGTTGCTGCCCAGCTGCAGGCCCAGAGACAGCTTGCGGCGTGTTCCTGGCCAACAACTGCTGTGGATGATTCAATGGGGCCCGGAATCGAGAGCATGAAAAAAGGTCGGTTTAGGGTTTCGGGTGTAGGGCGGGAGAAGTTTGGGGAGGTATGAGCGGTGAAGCTCTTCTGCGGCGAGAAGATCGAAGTTCCAGAGGGCTGCGCAGCTTCGACAACTACATGCAGAAGCCATGCCAGCTGTAATACTAATCCGAAAACCCTAAGACCTAAACACCAAAAACACTACTGAACCGAAAGCCCTAAAGACCCCTAAAACTTAAAACCAAAAACCCCGACTCCTTGCCTCCAGAGAAGGAGAAAGCCTGCTTGTCGGCATAGGGCCGCAGCGTCAGCTGGTCCAAAAGCGAGTCGACCTGGAAGAGAACAGGCGAAGCATATGTGCGGATAACATTGCCTATACAGAGCGAGCGAGCGAGCGAGCGAGCGAGCGAGCGAGAGAGAGAGAGAGAGAGAGAGAGAGAGAGAAAGAAAGAAAGAAAGGTTTAGGGTTTAGGGTAGACAGAAAGAAAAAGAGAGAGAGAGAGAGAGCGAGAAAGAGAGACAGAGAGAGGGACAGAGAGAGAGAGAGAGAGAGAGAGAGAAAGAGAGATGAAGAAATACTCTATGGAAAACTGTACTTGCATGAATACATACATACATACATACATACATACATGCATCCAGACAGACAGACAGACAGACAGACAGACAGCCAGACAGCCAGACAGCCTGACAGCTAGACAGCCTGACAGGCCGACAATACCTCTATGCACGTATACACAGACACCCTCATTACTGCTGAAGTCTTGTACATCTATATCGATACAGAGAGATAGAGAGGGAGAGAGAGAGAGAACCAAAAAACAAAAAAAATGGCACCAACAACGAGCTGAGAGGTGGCCTTGGACGATAACCGAGTCTGAACCACACCTCTCGGACATCCACAGCAGATTCTGTGCCCCTTGATTTCGGGTTTAGGGCTTAGGGTTCAGGGTTTAGGGTCTAGCTTAGGGCCTGGGGCTTCCAGGCACATATGAGATGCTGTGTCCGCTTTCTCAGCCAGCTTCAGGGCCCGAAGCGTCCCTTCAAAGAAGAACAGAAGCCGGGCTGCGACGGGGACACCAAAAAAAACTGAGCAGATGCTCTGTTTTGGGGGTGCCCTATTCATTTAGAGTATAGTATGCCCCAAAACCCTATTCTAATTATTAAGGTTATTGAGGCCGCAGGTCAGTCAAAACCCGGATCAAGGATGTGGATTTAGGTTTCAGGGTTTAGGGTCCACCACAAGGACGTGCATCTGCCTGTACCCTAGACTCTGGATCCTAAAAACACTACAAGAGCCAGACCCCAAGAACCCCTAAATCCAGAGATTCCCAAACCCCAAAAAAGCATAAACGGATCCCCTCTACTTGCCAGCGGGCATGGAAAACTAGTAGCAAGCATCCCTCCGGGCCCCTCTCGACGTCTACTTGAAGAGAAGGGTCCGGTGAAAACTCCTACAGAAAAATGTTATCAAAGCCCCACGAACCCGTTTCGGGCCACCCTAAACCCTAGCACCCTGAACCCTTAATTTAGGAACGCTCAAGCCTCGACGTAGAAACTCCCTAAACCCTGAACTGATAAACCCGAGTCAACTTTGACCCCCAAACCACACCCATACACACTAACCCTAAACCCTAAACCCTCATAAGCCCTAAGCCCTCAAGCCTTACAAATCCGAAACCCTTGCAAACCCCAAAAGCCCTTGCAAGCCCTAACCCGTATTAAACCCTAAAGCCTAAAGAAAACTCTTACAAACCCGATAAACCCTAAGCCCTTGACCCTTGCAAACCCTTATGAACCCTAAACGGCCCTAAACCCTTGTAAGCCCTAAGCCCTCCTACGCTTTCCAGACCCGAGCTGCGTAAGCCCTAAAC